GCTGTGTTGAGCCCCCACTGGGTGTGGCTGGCTTAGAAGAAGTGCTGATTCCAAGAGTAGGGAACCCCCCAGGTATGGACGAGGAGGCAGGTGGATTTAGAGTTGTGCCTGAGGGTGGGAATGGGCCAGCACTTCCCCCGGAGCTGGTTGTGATAGGTCCTTGAGAGTTCCCAGAGGTCATGGGGGTTTCCAAAGTGCTGTTACTCGAAGGCCCAGTTGTTCCTCCAGCTCCTGTGGGCTTGGGGGACTCTGGGGGTAGCATGTACAGAACTTGGGTTTGCCTCCATCCCCAAATATACCTGTCCCAGAGGAGGAGCCACCCTGCTTGGGGGCCCTCAGGACTCACCTGTGGAGGGCGCCTCTGACACTCGGATCTCAACAACAGTGGTGGCTGTGTCCTTAGTCACCATATTGGTAGCTTCTACCTGGGTCAGGAAAGGGGCTTGTTCCTCTTGGGTCCCTCTCTACCCCACACCTTTGGTCCCCTTATCCCCACTCCACCTCCACATAGAAGACTCCTGTTTGCTTCATATCCACGTTGGTCAGCATGGTATCATCCTCCATCTTGAACTCTGAGGAGTTGGTGACTTGGTATGTGATGGCCGAGTTGAGAACCTAGGTGAGAGTGTAGTGAGGCCTGGGCCTGGATGCCCCACTGTCCATCCCAAGAGGTCCACACAGAGAGGTGGCCGGAAAGACTAGGTATGCATAAGAGGACGGGAAGGGGCTGCATACCGGGAAGCCTAGGTACCGAGCCTGGATCTTCAGGATCTCTGAAGGGGAGGCCATGTTCTTCACTGTTGTGCCAGCCCCAGAATAAAGCGCCACTGTGCCGTGATATAGGCTCTGAGAGAACTGGAGTGGGCTCTCAGTGACGTTACGAGCCACCACAATTGCCTGGGTCACTGAGTAGCGGGCCATGTCAGCCTGATCAGCCTGGGGAGTCAGGGGAAGCAGGAATGAGCGATAGGACTTAATGGATCTGGGGACAGCAGCTGGGGCTCGAGGGAACACAGGAGACCCAGCAGTCATCCAGTACGGTACCCACCCTGACTATCAGGGTGAAGCTCATGGGGCTGGGGATACTTTTGGCCATCGTGAGGTTGCCAGAGTCTGCGTTGATGATAAATGTGTCATCCGTGTTTCCTGGGAGAATTCAGGGTAGAGTTCGGTGTCTGGTCCCTCTGTTGTAGGGTCCAGCGTCAGTGGGGCTAGCCCTCACTCACCTGTCACAATGCTGTAGATGATAGGCTGGTTGATGGCCTGATCTCCGTCCACAGCATAGATGGGACCAGGACTCAAGGTGACAGGGGATGGCTGTGGGGATAAAGATACCTTGAGGTTGAATGGCCCCAGTTCTTACCCTCTTGTTGTCTCTCAAGATCTGTAACATGAGTTGGAGCATGGGGGTAGAGGCAGTGCCTGCTTGGGATGGAGCTGCAGCCACAGCAGGCCTCAGTGGCAACAAGTACTTAAGAAGGAAGACTTGCAGCCCCAATGTTTGCCTCTGCACAATGGAGGCTGTAGTAGCCTTGGCTGGATCCGCCTTCCCAGTAGCCCTGCGGGCCTCAGAGGAGACTGTCAGTGGGCAAGGACAAGGACACAGCAGTCCATTAGCACTGGCCCAGCCCCTGCAGTCCTCACCCCCCAGCTCACATCATGGGATCCACACTCCTCACTGAATTTTGTTTGTGTGCCCCACCCACCTGAGGCTGGGAAGGGTAGTCACTGAATAACTGATTGTTCATTTACATGTGTTTGACATATCACAGATTTGTCCCTAAGCCTCTCAGGGAGTACAGGTCATTGCTGGATCTCCACCGTGAACCTCTTCTGTCTCAGCTCTGAATTCGAGTCTGACCCTGGGCTTCCTTACTCCCCATTACCAGTATGTGTCCCGTGGGGACAACGCCATAATACTGGGCCTGGACGCAGTAGTAGTCATCCAAATAGGAGCAGGGCAGGAACCAGGGTGGTCGTTGGTCAGCTGGCAGCACAGTCAGGACCAGGGTGGCAGTAGCTGTGTGGCTGGGGATCGCACTCTCATTCCAGGTATCCTGTAGTAACAGCCAGCCCCTGGCAGGTCAGGCCCAGCTTGGCCAAGGCTCAGAACAGCCAGGACTCAGCCAGAACAGGTGGGTGCCCTCTGCTTACCCGTACCACCAGCTTGAAGGTCATGTTTTGATTCTTGTAGAAATTCAGGGTCCGGTCCAGCCTCAGAGCAGGGTAGTTTACACTCACCAGGGAGAAAAAGCTGCTGGCATCCTGAGGAGGGGGAGGAGGTGAGACTCCAGAAGGTGGAGGAACTGAGGCCTGGAGGCATCAGAAGGGAGGGGTCAATAGTGAGTGGGGATGGGGGAGCACTAACAGGGGTCACTTCTTGGAGTGTGTAGAACAGGACGTCATCTTTGTCGGCATCTGTGGCCTCCAGCTCTGTCCCAGGAATGACGGTTGTACCCACTTTGGTATCCTGGGGATGGAGAGGAGGTTAGTTCAGCCATTCTGTGGCTTCTCCCTGATGGTTCCCTGGATACCCCATTCTCCTCCTGCCTCCTCCTTACTCAGAAGGCACCATCTCTGGCTCCACTAGACTCACCTCTGTTACATTGTATTTCTTGATCGTAAAGGGGAATATTGGAGGGTTGTCGTTGACATCCAGGACAGCCACGAACACACTGCTCTGTGACACCTGCAGGAAAGTCACCAAAGTCACCCCCGGCTGAGTGATGCTCTGATGCCCTCCATCATTCATTCCTTTCTTCTCTTAACAGTTCATTCAGTCAGTCACTGTTTCCCTGTCACATTCAGCAGACATAGGTGACAATGTAGTTAGCCTGTGGGCTCCTGTACTAGGAGGAACCCAGAGTATAAACAGTAAACAAGTAAGTTTTAGAGTGTGGCAACGTGTGTGTGGTGAGTGTGCCGAGGAGAAGTTCTGGCAATCCTGGGGACACAACCAGCTAAATAGAAGAAAAACATAAACAGCCTCATAGCTTCACAAACAGGTTCACAAGAGAACGGCAGAGAAAGGAGCCTTCAGGTTAAAATCAACCAGCTATAGCCCATGGAAGAGACCTTCCTGGGACCCAGGAGAAGAGAACACAGCCAGGAGCCAGAGGACAGAAAGGAAAAGCTGCTCTTCTCAGGTGGGCGGATGTCAAGGCCAAGGTTCTCTCTGTCTGTCTCTGTCCCTGTCTCTCCATCTCTCTGTCTTTCTGAGTGTGTGTGATGTGTATTTGTTTACTTGTGTGTTGATGGTGGAGCCCAGGGTCTCAATCATACTAGGCAGGTACTCCATCACTAAACTATACCTAAAAAGAGCGTTATTATTATTATTATTATTATTATTATTATTATTATCTACTTGAGATATGTGCGGGGAACATGTCATGGTACAGGGCAACAGTGCAGGAGGTCAGAGTTCCCATGGCGGAGCAAAAAGTGTGTGGGGCCTGTTATTCCTGTGAGCTTCCTTTAGTAAAAGGCTGGAAAGGAGCCAGGTGCGGTGGCCCACCGCTGTAATCCCAGCACTCGGGGAGGCAGAGACAGGCAGATCTCTGTGAGTTTGAGGCCAGCCTGGTCTACAAAGTGAGTCCAGGAAAGTCAAGGCTAGACAGAGAAACCCTTCAAGAAAGGAAGGAAGGAAGGAAGGAAGGAAGGAAGGAAGGAAGGAAGGAAGGAAGGAAAGAAGGGAGGGAGGGATGAAAATGTGTGGGCTGAAGGCTCAGATGTATAGGGTAGGGTAGGGAGACTGTAGAATATAAGGGTTAGTCATCTCCCTAAGGAGACAACATTTCCATGCTAATCTGAGCAGGCAAAAGAAATGTGCACACCGGGCCAGGGTCTGCATACCCCAGCCTTGCCTGCCCAGCTATGAATTTAGCTTTGACTTCCAGTAAGAACATGTGGAAGTTTCTGTGTTGGCTGTGCAGGCTTCTGGTTATGACCCTAGGAATTCACTGCGTGGTGAAGGGATAGAGGAGGGGCACAGGGAAGAAAACAGCAAGGGGATCTGCTGGAAGGATCAGAAAGAAGGGCTATTGACCAAGGCCCCATGGAGACGCGGAGAGTAGGTCTGACTTTAACTGGGGCACAGCCACCAGTGCCACCAGTGTACCCTGGGTGGGGTGACAGCAGGAGTGGCCTAGGCGGCTGGTGGTGAAGGTGTCTCCCAGGCCAGAAGTGAGGGGCAGACTTAGGGTCTCTGGGTATTGATGTGATACATGGCTCTAAGTGAGCTGAGTTGGAGTCTGGATTTCAGGGCAGGGTCTGGGCTGAAAGAAGTGTGGGAGTGGTCAGGAGAGATTCCCTGGGGTGACCTCATGGAGGAGTGGTCTTGGGGTACTCCGACAGAAAGCAGGGGTGGTCAGGCAATGGGGTTGACTTACCATAGTGTTTCCTCTCCTACATTCCAGAACTGCCTCCAGTAGTGGGTTTTCCTGAGGATGAAGCCAGGGGCCTTATGAATCACCTGCCACTGCCCTAGGCTTGGAGAGTGTTGCTAGGAAGGCAGGTTTTCCTCCAGGGCCCTGGTCATCAGTGGAGAATCCTGGGTAGAGGGGGCACCTGGCAACTTTGTCCCCTAATGGCCCTACCCCTCAGTACCAACCAACCAAACCCTGGGCCTGAAGGGCTTCTTACTACCTGGGGAATAGAGATTCCTTAGTCCCTGCCCTGAATCTTCTCCAGGATAGAGGAGTGGGTGTATGTTCCCCAAGAGGGCACATTCCGTCCAGCCTACAGCCTGTACCTCGTAATCTGGAATCACGGTGAGAAACAGCTGATTCTCCACGATCTTGAAGGTGGAAGGAGTGGATGAGGGTCCCAGGGTCACCTGCTGGCCTTCTGGGACGAAAATGCTTGCCAGCGGCCCAGTAACATTCGTGTTCTCCTCAATTTGAAAAAAGGTCTGGTTTGCCTCGCAGGCTAGAAAGTTGCAAAGGAAAAGTTGATGCTTTCCACCCTAGCTCTCCCACCTACCCATCCTTCCCCTGCCCAGCACATACCCTGGGCCTGGGCCAAGGTCCCCGGAGATTGTCCAAACAGCACTACGAGCGATGGCAACAGCAGGGAAAGCCACAGGAGGGCCGGAGCCCCCATGGTGGCAGCTGTCACCTGGGAGAAGGGTCCAGGCTACTTGGTTCCAGGGCTGGTACAGTTCCTGCCTTGGCGACCTTCGCCCCGGCCAGGCACCGCCTCATTTTATGACCCTTTACAATGGCCTCCACTAAGGGGACTCCAGCTGGCCGGCACTAAGAGGGGACATGAGGTCATATTTCAGTCTGGACTTTCCTTTCCAGGAAGATGACTTGGGAACGCAACCCAACCCATAGTCGCTATACATAAGGTGTAAAAAAACAAAAACAAAAACAGACAAAACAAAAAAACTTGAGAAGCACTGGGAGAGGGGAATAGGCCTGGTGAAGCTAGGGCAAGGCTGGGGCTATTGGTCTAAGGAGGCTGAGTCAGAGCTGGGGGCTGGGGAGAGTGAACAGATTAAGGTGGGCCTGGGGAAGAGCTGGGAGGGAACCATTACAGGGCTGGAGTACTGGAGCACGGGGCAGGGTCGGATGAGTTGGAATAGGGCTAGAGGAACTGGGAGAGGAACGGAAGGAGCTGGAGCATGACTGGGGATCTGGGGGCAGGAACAGGGGTGTGGGCTGGGCCATTAGCCAGGTCTGCTATAATCCATGTCAGGATGACCCTCATCTTGTCTCTCTCTTCAATGTCCTTTAGCAAAATTCCTGAAGCCATATTATGTTGCTGCCTTTCCCCTGTTCCCAAAGGAAAAGGCTGTGTCTCAGTGTGTTCCTGCCAGTCTGGGAAACACACAGCAGTTCCCCCAGGGTAGCGCCTGGCAGGGCCTCTGTGTGTGATAGGATGCCAGTGGAACCTTTGAGCCACAGCTGGGAGCTGGGGTTGGGGGAGCCACTGTCTGTCGGAAGACAGGAATTCTGGTGAGGACACAGTCCAGGCCTCTATTGGACCTGCTCCTGTCTTTCTTATTTCCGCCTCCAAGCCCTCAGAGCTGGGAAGGGGCCACTAGGTGGGGTCAGGATGGTGGTGGGGGGGGTATTGTGAAAGGGCCTGCAGAGCCCTCACCACTCTGGACCCTTGTGTGGCTGCTTTAGATGCCTGAAAACCTTCCTGAGGCTCCAGGCTTCTGTCAGGCCTGAGCACTTTGTCTTATGACCCTTCAGTGGTCCTCCGGCTGCCTCCTGGGAGATGACATCACTGTCCAGGCTTCAGGGCTGGACCAAGACCAAGCAGACATATTGAGCCAGGATGTGTGCAGTACCTCCCACTCATGAGTAACCCCTATAGGCCTGGTGAGAGCCTCCTCACCGAACCATACACTCTGACCTCATGACTGGACAAGTGGACCACAGGGCAGGGTGGGACACTAGGGAGTTCAGCCTGGGAACAGAGGAGTTCAGTTGATGCCAGAGATAAGGAAGAAATGTCCTCGCTGGCCTTCCAGTTCAAAGAGCAACTGGGTGTGGTCCTAGCCATTCAATGAGGTGGATGGATCTGACCATACCTGGCAGGCTGGCAGAGCCGGGGCTGCCTCGATTTTATCAGACATCACACACCACGAGCTAGAGGACCAGGGTTTAAATTCCTTCTTTATTGATGCCAAGGACAACCAAATTATTCCAGCCAGGCTCCTGGAGACTCCCCTTCCTCCCTTATCTGGGCTGTCCGGTTGCTTCAGTCCACTCTGAAACTTCGACAGCGGGTCTTGGTCCAGGAGGCAGCCAGAGAGACCTGAGCCCCTCCAGGGCGAACCTGGGGAGCAGCCTGTGGAGGGAGAGTGCTGGTTAAGGAACTAAGGACTGCCCATCAGAGTGCACGCGCCCTCACGGCTAGGGAACAGGAAGGGTACTTTAGGAGTCCAGCTGAGGGTGGAGGGCTTACCAATCCTGTAGGGCCTGAGGGTTCGACCACAGCAAGCAGAACTGATCTTCTGAGGGCCTGGACCGGGCCAGGCTGTTCTCTGGGCTATTTTCTGGGTCCTGCTCGCTGCTCCCACCCACCCCCAAGCCCAAATAACAATTAGTGGCTTACTAGGATGTGGCAGGCTGCTGATAGGGGACCCTGTCAGCCCTGTCCCCTATCAGGCAAGTCTGGAGAATTCTACCCGCCCTGTCTCACCTGCGCTTCCCCACCAGACCCTGCAGCAGGCGCTGCAGCCTGGCGCTGTCCTGCAGGCGGCTCAGCTCGCTGGTGAACGTCCCGTCTGAGTGTCTTGGGGTCCTGGGGAAGGGGCGGAGCCAGGAGGGTCAGAGTGCCGCGGTGTGGGCGTGGCCAGGGTGAAGCGGATTTTCGACCCAGCTTACCTGGGAGGCGCGGGGAGCGCGGCGGAGCCTGCGAGCAGCAACAGCAGTAGCAGTAGCGGCGGTGGGGGGAGAGGAGGCTTCATGGTCGGGCTGTGGCTGTGATGAACGCTGCAGCTGCAGCCTGAGCCCCGCGCCGCCGCTTTATAGCTGCCCGGACAGCATGCAGGGGGCTCCGGCACCGCCCCGGCTCCGCGCGGCCGGCCGCGCCCCATCGATTGCTGGAAGGTCAGGGCCGCCCCCCCAGCTGTCGTCCGGCCACCTCCTGTCCCCACCGCCGCGTTGGCGCCCCTTAGCTGGCTGGGCGGGGGTGGGGTAGTAGAGGGGTAGTGCTACCAGGTAGCGAAATGGACACCTCCATCTGGTACCAGGGACAAGAAGGGATGGCGGTTCAGGACAGGCAGAGGGAACCGCACTGCGAGGCCTCAGCTTATACCGAAGCCTAGTCTAGATCAAGACCCTGCGCGCTCTTCTCTGGAAGGGGCTTTAGGTGTCTTGAGGGTCCTAGGAAAGACGGGTGGACCACTGAGTGGAAAGGGAACCACAGTCCTAGCGCTTCCGGAAAAGCCAGGGAAGGGAGGACGGATGTCTGCAAGGGCAGCCCAGCTCCCGAAGCAAAAATGGGGATTCTCTTAGGCCTGCGGTTGCATTTTTGCGCGGGAGAAAGCAGCCTAGTCATATTGCTAGCAGGAGATGGAAATGGGTTCCAACAAGAGAAAAGCAGGCAGGTAGAGGTTGTAGGTAAGTGGGGAGGAGGAGCTCTGGATGGAGACTGATGTCAAATAGGCTTGCAAAACACCTTCACACCTAGAGTCCGGCACCTCAGTGGTAGAACACTTGTCTAGTAGGCACCAGGACCTGAGTCCAACCCAGCACTGAAACTCAAACCCAAAAGACAGTCTTTGGGATCAAATTACAAAGCTATTAAACTGTTGGAGCTAGCTCTCAGGTAAAAAAAATAAAAATAAAAAATAAATCCTACTTTTTTGTTGTTTGTTTGTTTGTTTTTAATTGGGAATGGTTTATTTTAGTTTTTGGAGACAGAATATTCAATTCAGGCTGCCTTTGAACTCACTGTATAGCCGGAGTTGGCCTGGAACCCTTAACAATCTTCTTCCTTTAGCCTCTCAAAAGCAGAGATTGCAAGCATAAGCCACCAAGTCCAGCTCTACTTGCATTGGGGGTAGAGGGAGGCTAGGTGTTGAGCTTGCAAATTCTTTGTTTTGAAATTTTTGAGAAAAGGTCTCATGAACACCAGGCTGGCCTCAGATTTGTTACTTAGTTTAGGGTTACCTTGAGCTTCAGATCTTCCTGCCAGTACCTCTGGAGTACTGGCATAGGAGTGTGTCAACATGCCTGGTTTTACATGGAGCTAGGAATGGAACTTGGGGCTTCACACATGCTAGCTTAGCACTCTATCAAATGAGTTCCCCGTTCCTAACCCTCCACATGACCTGAGGCTTTAAAAACAATAGACTTCATGTTTTAGAGCAGTTTTCAGTTTACAGAAAAACTGAACTGAAAGCATAGCAATCAGTTCCCTTATGCCCCTCACGTAACTCCCTCCCCTAGAATTTTCTCTCCTCCCCCCCCCCCCCCTTAAGACAGGGTTTCTCTGTGTGGCCCTGGCTGTCCTAGAACTTGCTCTGTATCCCAGGCTGGCCTCAGACTCACAGAGATCCACCCACCTCTACCTCCCGAGTGCTGGGATTAAAGACGTGCTCCACTACACGGGCTTGAACCACGGTCAACACAGGAGTGTCATCAAGGCCTGCAGTTGTTACCAGGAGCTGCTTGGTGGTTGCTATTCTATCAGTTTGGACAGTGTAAACCAGCGTGAATCCAGTTCCACATGGTGTCACAGCCCTGAAAGTTCCCTCCTGCCCTTGTCCTCCTGCCCTCTTCCCTGACGCTGGCAGTGCTGCCTTTTCCAGAGCCTCAGAGTTGGAAGCTTGGGCTGCATTCTTTCTCAGTGGCTTCCAAGTTCCAAAGTTCACATTTACTTATTTATGTGTGTGGGTGCATGGAAGTCAGAGGAAAGCTTTCTTCTTCTTCTTCTTCTTCTTCTTCTTCTTCTTCTTCTTCTTCTTTCTTGTGGGTTCAGGGATCAAACTCAAGCGGGCAGGCTTGGCAGCAAGGGCCTTTACTCACGGGGCCATCTTGCCAGTACCACGCTGGCTTCTTTCACTTGGCAATAATCATTTACATCTGCTTTGAATCTCTTCATGGCTCAGTAGCTCAATTCTTTCTAGGGCTTTAGCAATGTTCCACTGTTTGAATGGACCAGTGTGTTTATCCGCTCACCCAGTGAAGGACATTTGCGTTGTTTCCAAGTTCAGGCAACTATAAATAAAGCTGCTATAAAAGTGTGTGTGTGTGAGAGAGAGAGAGAGAGAGAGAGAGAGAGAGAGAGAACCATAGACACAGCTCAGTGGTAGGGTGCTTGCCTAGTATGCATGATGTCTAGGTTCAATACTCAGGACCACGGGGGGGGCGGAGAAAAAAGCATATGTCAGTCCTGACCAATGGAATCATAGAAGTGACACTAAAACCAAATCCCTGAGTAAATAAGCGGAAGGGAGAAGACAGGTGGTTAGTGAGCAGTGACCTACAAGAACAGGGGTAGGCAGGAGGCAGTCCTCCGCCAGCCAGGCATCCTGATGTGCACAGGGCCTCATCGGGAGGCCGGGGGAGGTAGTAGGGCAATGGCCACCACTCTGCAGGGGCCAGTATACACTGAGGTCAGAAGAGGATAGCGTAGCTGGTTGAGGCTGTGTTTGGAAAGGGCTTAAGAAAGACCCTGAGAGCTGGTGTTACATGCTTCTAATCCCAGCACTTGGGAGGCAGAGGCAGGAGGGTCTCTGTGAGTCTGAGGCCAGCCTGGTCTATATAGAGAATTCCAGGCCTGTCAGGGCTACAAAAAGTGACCCTGTCTCAAACAAATAAAAAAGATGGTCCCTGAGGGATTGCTTTGTCAGTGTACATGGGAGGATAGGAGCAAAGCAAAAGCTCCTGCGTTCTCAAAAACAAACAAACAAACAAACAACAACAAAAAAAAACACATTAACATCACAAGAAAGAAAACTCTTTTTTAAGAAAATCCCCTATTGGGGGAGGTGGCAGAGTCAGGCAGATCTCTGTGAGTTGAGGCCGGCTTGATCTACAAAGAGAGACCAGGACAGCACTACGCTACACATCGCTGTCTTAAAAAAACTGAAAAATAAAAAGGGGGGGGGGCTGCAGAGATAGTTCAGCAGTTAAGAGCCCTTGCCCCTCTTCCGGAGGACCACAGTTCAATTCCTAGCAAGCACATGGTGGCTCCCAACCATCTGTAATAGGATCCAGTGTCTTCTGGTGTGCATGAAGACAGTGTACTCACATACAGAAAACAAACAAATAAATCTTAAAACAGACCAAAACATTGTATTTTGTCAGGTGGTGGTGGTGCATGCTTTTAATCCCAGCACTTGGGAGACAGAGGCAGGTGGATCTCTGTGAGCATGAGGCCAGCCTGGTCTACAGAGTTCCAAGACACTCAAAACTATACACAGAGAAACCATATCTCAAAGAAACAATAAAACAATAAATAAGTAAATTAATTAACACCCCCCCCCCATTGAAAAGCTGAGTATGGTGCCACATGACTTTAATCTCAGACTCTCCTACAGATAAAGATGGCCATCCCTCATGTGAGCTTGTGTAGAATTTAGAAGACAATTTTTCTGTCATAGATTCTGGGGAGCAAATTCAGGTCTTATGTTGTGACACTGGTGTCAAGAGCTTCTACTGAAGGCTTCAGCAGAGAGGATAAGACTATCCCTGTCTCTTACGATAAATCTGCCAAGGATGTGTTAAAAGGATTCAGGTGCCCTAAATCAGCTTGAGCATCTGTATGTGATCCTTGAGGGCTGGCCCAATTTCCCTGAAAAAAAAAAAAAAAAAAGAGACAGAGTTTCTCTGTGTACCCTTGGCTGTCTTGGAACTCATTCTGTAGATCAGGCTGACTTCTAACTCACAGAGATCCACCTGCCTCAGCCTCCCTGAGTGCTGGGATTAAAGAGGACACCACCACTGCACAGCTCCTGTGAAATAATTTGAATTCGGTTCCTTCTGTCCTGAAAGTCCCCTCTGTGGTATGCCATATAGGCCCAGGAGCTCTTTGTCTTCCTGCCAGAAAGCAAAGTGAGAAAACAAAATGTTTATAAGTCAGGGAGTACTTTAGGCCATGCCCACTTGAAGGATAGCCCTTTAGTCATGGATTCCAGGAAATATCTCTCAGCCTTATTAAGCCCATATACAAAAATTCTTTCACGAACACAGTACCCGCGTACTTTCACTGCATGAACTCACAATCTTCCAGAGAGACCTTCCTTGCTGCTGTCTCTTCTCATGTCACGATTCTATCGTGCCATCTCTACCTGTGCTGCCTAGGTTCCTGGAGTCCAGCGTTGGCCCAGGGTGAAAAGCGTGACCTCCAGATGTGGTCTGGAGGAGAGAGCCCCCATATGAGAGCTCGGACATTCCTATCACCGGTAGCCAGTGGTCCACACAATCTCAAAGGCAGGCAGGAAGGAGGGCAACCACTCAGCTGCCCACTGAGGATGGTTGAGGGTTAAGGATGGCTGAGCCAGTCCATCCTCTTTAATCCGAGCACTGTGGAGGCAGAAGCCGAGGCCAGAAGATCACTGCTAGCCTGGTCTACAGAGCAAGCTCTAGGACAGATAAGGCAACACAGGGAAACCCTGCCTTGAAAAGCCAAAAATAAAGACGAAAAAAGAAAAGAAAAAGAAAATTTAAGGCGGGGCCTGGGAGGTGGCCCAAGTATCATTTCACCACCGTCTGGTTCAGCAATGACCAATGGAGATGGCAGCACCAGACACTTGGGAAGAGGGATGGTAAGAAATGTAGGGCCAGCCAGGGCCTGGATCTGAAGCATTGCTGCCCTTCTGCCCATGTGCGGCTGTCCGATGGAGAGTGAGCTCAGTGTGCCAGATCCTGCCATCCCCAGGGCAAGGAGCAGCCTCAGAACCATCAGAGAAAGAGGTGAGGCGCCCTTAGCCTGTTGCAGAACCAGAGCTGGTGTTTTCCTACGTGGGAAAGACAGTGTTCCAATGCAGGAGTATAGGTTCGGCCACGTTCTCCGATGCTTCTTGGACAGGCGCTCCAGACACGTAATTTGGTGGCCTGAAAGGTCCCAAGTGTCTCCTGGCTGGGATAGCTGGCTCTGACGAATCTGGTCCAGACGACCCATTCTCCTCATAGGTTTCTGGGAGCACAAACCAGCCCCGATCACGCAAAACACCAGCCCGACTTCTTTATGTCAGACACTTCGCTCAATTCTCATCTCTTGAATTGAAGCATTTTTTTTCCCCCTTCGGCCAGTTTCCTAGAGTGCAGAAATTCAAGCGAGGGCGGGGCGGGGCGTGCGGGGCGTGCTGGGGGCGGGGCTTCGGGCAGCCCCTGCCTGCAAAGCTCCTTGCTCTGCGCCCAGCGGGGCGCGTTCAGCGGGCGCGCCATGGGGAACGGCAGCGCCGCTGACGCCGGTGGGCTGTTGCCTGGGCGTGGGCCAGAGTCCCTGGGGACCGGCGCCGGGCTCGGGGGCGCGGGCGTGGCGGCGCTGGTGGGGGGCGTGCTGCTCATCGGCATGGTGCTGGCCGGGAACTCGCTGGTGTGCGTGAGCGTGGCCTCCGAGCGCACCCTGCAGACTCCCACCAACTACTTCATCGTGAGCCTGGCCGCCGCCGACCTCCTCCTCGCGGTGCTGGTGCTGCCCCTGTTTGTCTACTCCGAGGTGAGCCTCGGTGACCGCTTTCCCGGTCTCCGCAGCCCCTCGCCACCTCCCGGCCCCAGCAACCCCGAGCCAGGCCTCCTGACCGCCCTTCTCTCTCCCGCCCTTCAGAACCCTCTGCCGATATTGCCTCTGTTGCTCACCCTACCACCCTCTGGATCCCTTCCTACCCTCTGTCGGGGATCTGCCCACTCAGCGAGGAATTGCGAACTTTGGCTTTTTTGTTTAAGCCCTCGCTCCCACTCCAGAAATACTGCACCCTCCGCAACTCCCGCCAGAAAGCAGGTAGACAGATAAGCGAATGTGTAGACACACATCACCGCTGACGACCACTGCCTTTTGGGCGCTCGCGCAAACACACACACAGACACACACACACACACTTGCCACCCTGTGCCAGCTCGCCCTGTGGAAAAAGCCCAAAGCCCGCAGCCACCCAGCTACCAGAAGCTTGGAGCAGTTGAAGGGTGTAGGCATAGAGGCCGTGAACCTGAAGGGTCACTAAAGAGAGTGGGTTCCGAGCCTTTTGGAGACTCCTGGCACAGAGTCACCTCAGACAGGGTCTGGCGCTTAGGTGGGTCTGCCGTGGTTTTTGGCAATTCTTCTCTCTGCCAGAGAAAAGCTGTTTAGGGCAGGAATGGGGACACAGTGACCCGGACTATGGGTGGGTGTGTTAAGATTCAAGAAATTTCTAAGGAAGACACAGTGAGTTCTAGAGCTAGGGCAGAGGCCCGCGGCCACGCTTGACCCCAGATCCTCCCCAGAGGGACAGACGTCACTGTGACGATTCTTAAGCTCCTAATCGTCCCAAATCAGTGTGAAGGGATTTGGAGGTGTGTGGGCTGAGATGGCTGTATGCTCGTTTGCCCTTGAAGAAGGATACTCCACGCAGATCCACAGAGCCCTACGAGGTCGTTCTCTGTCATTTTAGAACACATCTGTCCTCAGGACAATTGTCATGTGGATACTGTCCGGCACGTGACAGGACCCATCCAAATCCCCACAGCGGTGACAGGTCAAGCAGGAAGGGTAACCCTTAGCTGAGCCTTGGAGGTGGGTGGGTAGGGTTTGTGTTTAGGGCACAGAGGATCAGGTCTAAGCATCTAGCAGCTCCCCTCCCCTTAGACGGTATCGGTATCGATCGTCCAAGGGGCTTCCCCAAGATTCTCCTTTCCCTACACAAAGGATACCAGAATCAAGAGGCAGTCTCTTTTAACTGCCTCGGGCTCACAGAGTCCCCCGTCACAACCCCCCACCCACCCACCCAGCAAGAGCTGGGGGTCAGAAATTCTGCGACCGAAAGGTCAGGTCTTGTGTTCTGTTCCTGCAACCTCTGTGTGGCCAGGTCCAGGGTGGCGTGTGGCTGCTGAGCTCCCGTCTCTGCGACACCCTCATGGCCATGGACGTCATGCTGTGCACAGCCTCCATCTTCAACCTGTGCGCCATCAGCGTGGACAGGTGGGTGGGTACCCTGAGGGCCCCTCTTCCACCCCCACCTCCCAGTCTGCCTCTCCACTCGGCGGGCGGCTTCACCACGCCTGTGACCCCCCCCAGGTTCGTGGCTGTGACCGTGCCGCTGCGTTACAACAGTCAGGGCCAGCGCCAGCTGCTGCTCATCGCCGCCACGTGGCTGCTGTCCGCCGCGGTGGCCGCCCCGGTGCTGTGCGGCCTCAACGACGTGCCGGGCCGCGACCCAACCGTGTGCCGCCTGGAGGACCGCGACTTCGTGGTCTACTCGTCCGTGTGCTCCTTCTTCCTGCCCTGTCCGCTCATGCTGCTGCTTTACTGGGCCACTTTCCGCGGCCTGCGGCGCTGGGAGGCAGCCCGGCACGCCAAGCTTCACAGCCGCGCGCCGCGCCGACCCAGCGGCCCGGGCCCCCCGGGGTCAGACCCTGCTCAGGGCCCGTTCTTGCCACACTGCCCACCCCCATCACCCAGCCTCCTGCCGGGTCCCAGCGGCTCCGGCGTGCGGGAGCCAGACCCCTCTGGGAGCCCCTGCAGCGCCGAGCTTCCGCTCCCCGAGGCACCCGCGCCGCCCGCGCCGCCTTGCCGCGGAAGAAGAGGCGCCAAGATCACCGGAAGGGAGCGCAAGGCGATGAGGGTCCTGCCGGTCGTAGTCGGTGGGTTTTTGCCCTGGGGCAAGAGCTGATAGCGGAGAGGGGTACCAGGTGGAGGGGTCCCGGCCGCCCAGGTGGGAGCGGGGAAAGGTCCAGCTGGGAAGGGTGAAAGGTGGGGAGTCCCAGGTGAGGGACCCCGAGTGCAGGCTCACGCCGCCCACCCCCAGGGGCCTTCCTGATGTGTTGGACGCCTTTCTTCGTGGTGCACATCACGCGGGCGCTGTGTCCGGCTTGTTTCGTGCCTCCAAGCCTGGTCAGTGCCGTCACCTGGCTAGGCTATGTCAACAGTGCCCTCAACCCCGTCATCTACACCATCTTCAACGCGGAGTTTCGCAGCGTCTTCCGCAAGATTCTCCGTCTCCGCTGCTGAAAGGGCGGCTGGTGTCCTGAGGTCAAGGAGATCCAAGCCTGTGTGCGGAGTGCGCGGGCGCACATTCGTCTGATCAAATGAAATCATCTATGAAAGCTGAGGGTTGGAGGAGAGCAAGGGAAAGATTGCTCGGCCGATGGGGCCTGCCTGCCTCTTTCCGCCTTGGACGATGCTGCTGACTCAGCTCCGGAGGTTGCTGAATTCTCCCCTGCCCCGGGAGAGTTAGGAAAACGACTACAGCAGGCTGTTTCCCCTCGAGAGGAAAAGTGAACAAGTGTCCTCCTCGGAGAGGAGTTCTATGGGACTGCTGGGTCACCAGGACCCTGTCCAGGTTAGCTTTTGCTCCTTGGAGAACTAGGTAGGGAAGGCTCCGCTGTCACTGAGGGGGCGGGCCCTCATTTTGGAAGTTTTCTGAGTACAATACAAATAAATAGTTTTTCGCCAGCCTCTCTCCAAAAGATAACGCAAACTTGGCACTGACCAAGTTCCATTAAGGTGCCCTCTGGAAGAGAGGCCCATCCAGGTCATCTTTACCTCATGTTTGTCCAGCATCTGGGTGTCTATGTGACCAGGCAGCAGCGTTCAAAGCTGGACTGAGGGGCCCAAGCAGGCCCTGTTCTGGGGCTCCTTGGCCAGGGCCCAGACCTCCAAGAGGCGGTGACTCCTGACCTGGGGATAGCTCACCCTAACACTTTCCCTCTCCCATCCTGTCAGGGAAGAGATGTTAAGTCAGGAAGGCTGGAGGAGGTTTGCTAGGTTGGGGATTCCACATCAACAGCAGGTGACAAAGAGTCACACTCTGTTCTTAATACCGAGAAACAATGAACTGTGAGTTCTACAGCACTAAGCGAACACCTGGAGTGTTGATACAGTCCTGGTTCGATAAGGGGGAATTCCCTACCATGGAGGGTACTATGGCCTCACTGGGCTCTAGATGCTTATGCCTGCTGGGGCTTCTGTTGACCTCCTAGCATGCTTCCAGGGGGCCAAAGGGGTCATGGGTTCATGAGTGGAACTGGGGCTCCCTTAAGTTTTACCTCTGGAGATGCTAGGATACCAAATGTGTTTAATCTTTGCCCACTTCCACCGAAAAGCTCTTCAGATACAAAGGGAAGGCTGAAACTCAGGAGTGGGACAAAGTCACTGGAAGCTTGATGCATCTTGGGGAACTGAGCCCTAAATGTCGGCGCTTCTAGACTCCTTGAGTTTCTTCCTTAGAGGAAAGGGAAAGAATAAATTGGATCAATTCCAATTTATCATCCACTGCTCTTGGATGGACCACTACCCCAAAACCCATCTGGTTGTTCTGCAGCCCTCACACAGTGCCACTCTTTTGGGGTAGACACGCTGGATGACCCCTGCAGGCTCCCTGTGGTTAGCAGTGACCCTGCATTTTCTTGTTGGAGAAACTCTTGGGTCTAGATGGCTTTGCCATACACTTTGGTCTTGCTCCTACTACTCTCATTGGGCAAACTGATGTAACCTCAGCTGACCTGAATGGCCTGGTGGCTGGATCGAGCTCAGGGTTACTCAGCCACCAGAAAGCACTTCTGGGAAGAATTGCAAGGCTCCTGCTCAAAGGGTTATGGAGGCCCCAGGTTTGATTCCAGCCGAGGTAAACACAGTGAGGTAAACAGAGCGGTCATGGAGACCTTATTCGGTGAAAAGGCCTCAGATGCCTGACTCCCGGTTAAGCCTTGGGGAGAAGGCAGGGATCCCACAGAATTGGGATCTCTTTACTCACATGCATGCCCCTCTCTCAACTGCTCCCTTGATTCACCTTGAGGGATCTCAGGGATATGCTGGGTGCAGAAGGACCTTCTGACAGAACCATTCCTGTTACATGTGGGTATAGCGATGATCTTCTTACACATACCAAAGTGCTTTCATATCACAGGAACAGTTTTAGAAGTATGTGTCAGAATGGATAAGTTCATCCTAAACTTGAAGGCATTCCCCCAGACCCTGGCTAAGTCTGCATGTTCCCTACATAGTGAGGGAGACTCAGGACCCTGACTGTTAGGAGTTGGGGTCCTGAGAGAAGCATTCTGAAATTTTAGAAGCTTCCAGAATGTGTTCCTCTGCCAGTGTTGTCAGTAGGAGTAACAGGTTTCATCCCAAGATCAGTCCAGTCTCCCCCAAAGGTCTCTGCCCCTTTACCTGCACCCAGGGGCAGTGGCGGGGGTGGTCCTGTGTGATGAGGAGAGTGGAGAAAAACAAAGACAACAGGACTTTGCACGCAGAAGTCCTGGTCACAGACCAAACACATCTCAGCGTGCATCAAGCAGGCTGCCCGGGAGACCCATCGAAGTCCTTCAGCTGCTCATGACACAAGCAAAGCTGGGAGAATATGAAGCCAGACCTTGCTAAGCAGCCTCAGGCTCTCCTGAAGCCACCTCTACTAGAGAAAGACAGGGTAAACCACTTTTGGGGGGCTGCAGGCAGGCCCTCACTGAGGGCCAACAAGAGGATCGCTGCAGGCCTATATCCCCACAGTAGGCTAGATGGGAGTGTACAGCCCGTACTCACACAATCAGGACACAGCAGAAACCCTCCGGCCATAGGAATATAAAGTGGTCTTTGTAACAGCAACATCCAGGTGGGGGGTGGGGGCTTTATTTACAACCTTATTAACAGATACAACAGATATGTACACGTGGCCTAGGGCACCCCCATGGGTAACGGGACACTCATGATCCAGGGATGAAAGAGCACCGTGATAGGTCGAGGGCCCTGGGCTGCGACAGAGTGCCCCATTCTGAAAGCCACCAGCATTCCTTGGTCTCTGGCAGGAGTTCATTTCCAAGGGCATAGTCAGTTTGTTAGTAACTTGTCCGGCAAGTTTCCCATGGCCCCTCTCCTCAGCAGCCCCCATAGTCAACGGAGGGCCTAAGCCGGCGATGGCCTCACAGTAGAGCAGGGAGAAGCTTGGCTCAAACAGCAACTTTTTCTATTACACTTTCTTCAACATGGACTTCGTCAGCCTGGACAGTGACAGATGATGACTGGCCACATACGTGCTGATGGTCTTTCCAGTCCTGGAAGAAGAGACACCCATGTCAGCAGGAATGACAGTGGAGACCCACTGTGGTACAGAGCAAACATTGCTTTGGATGGACCGAGGCGGGGGGGCACTTAGATGGGCTGTTGGTGAGCCATCAGAGTCAACGAATGGCCCTGTCAGGGCCTGTGTGTCAACCACAGGGACCAGGTAACAAAAGGCATGAGCATAACAAGACTGTAGCTCTGGCTGTCTGGAACTCACTATTAGACCAGGCTGGCTTCAACTCACGGAGATCTGCCTGCCTCTCCCTCCTGAGTGCTGAGATTAAAGGTGCATGTCATCATGCCCATCTGCTGTTATTATTTAAATGAAAAGTTGGACACGGCGGGTCGTGCCTGTAATCCCAGCATGTGGGAGGCTGAAACATGAGAATTGCCATGAGTTTGAGACCAGACTAGGCTAACAGTAAAAACAAATAAATACATGATTATGTGATATTATCACCCACAGTGGGTGGTAATCAAAACTGTGGGAATGACCCTAGTTCAATTTCTAGCAACTATATGGTGGATCACAGCCATCTATAATAGGATCTAATGCCCTCTTCTGGTGAGCAGACCTACACGCAGATAGAGTACTCATAAACAAATCTTAAAAACAAAGCTTGAGGCTGGAGAGATGCCTAAATGGTTAAGAGTACTTAGTCATAGATGTGAACTATTCTTCCAGAGGACCCAAGTTCAATTTCAAGTACCATACTGGGCAGCTCACAGCTGTCTGTAATTCCATTTCTGGGGGATTCTGACCTCTGCGGACACCACCTACACACACACACACACACACACACACACACACACACACACACACACA